CTCTGGGGCTTTTTATTTCTTGCTTTGGCCTTCAGTAGATCCGTGAAATGAAACCAAAACTGGTTTGAAGATGAAATTCACCCCTCTCTCTCTCACACACCCCCACACCCCCACCTATTTTTAATAGAGGTGCGTACCTGTGCTTTATTCTGTTATCAGCTGCGGTGAGCATTTCTGATTGCAGAAGTCAGAGGGCACTGGGGTGAGGCACTTGTGCTGGGCTGTGCTCCTACCCCAGAGCCCGCATCCACCACCTTCACCCTCGCACCCCGTCCTCCACAAGCTCCCTATGGGGACTAGTCTGAGCTCCTAAAGCCCTCCATTAAGGTTGCACTTGCTAAAAACCTGCTCAGCAGCAAAAAGTTAGGTCTTGGGGGGAGAAGGAAGAGTTCTGGGAGGGAGTCACACCTGGGTGGTGAAGTTACAGCCTGCTTTGTGTTGACAGTGAGATTGAATGTTACCTAGTTGTGTGTTGCTTTACTTCAGGTCGCAGCTAATGCCTTTACTTACATTGTAGCCGCTTCTCTGAAACATGAGTTCCGAACAAGCAAATAAAAAAGGCATATAAGCAATCCTGCCCAGGCAAGCAAAACAACTGGGCAGCACCAAGTCAGTTCAGTGAGATGAATTCTTTAAGCCAAGCAAACGGACACACACTGCAGTTCTCATCAGTGCTGCCATCACTCGTGTGTATGTGTTTGTTTGTGTGCATTTCTCCAGTTTAGCAGCTCTCAAGGTGTGTGGAGGGTTGCCCAGAGGAGCAAGGGGAGCGGGGAAAAAGGAAGGTAGCAAGGTGGGTGTCTGTTTCCTTTCCCAGGTAACAATTGATAGGATGAGAGGAAATGGATTGAGGTTGCTCCAGAGGAGATCTAGATCGGATTTTAGGAAACATTTCTTTACCAAAAAGGTTGTTAAGCACTGAACAGGATCCCAGGGAAGTGGCTGATACCACTATAGAGTGCTAAATACCCTGGAGGTATTTAGCAGAGCTGTAAATGTGGCCCTCAGGGACATGGTTTAGTAGTGGACTCGGCAGTGTTGGGTTAACAGTGGTACTTGATGATTTTAAAGGTCTTTTCCAGCCTAAAAGATTCTGTGGTTCTATGATTCTAAATAAGCCTTCTGGTCAGCTCAAAAGAGAGGCAGGAAGCACGTCTCCGGGCTAGCCTCCAGCTCCAGGTAAAACTTACGCAATGTTTTCCTGAGTTCCTGCTCCATACGTAGCTGGTGTTTTCTCTGCAGCTGGGACCTTGCATTCAGCTGGCAAGGCTCCAGGATGGCAGGGGTTCCAAGACAAAATGCCATGTACAGGAATGCATTAAAGCACCTATATACTCTTTAGGGGAAAAGTTTGCATTGGGGTTTTGAATTATGTTGCAAGCAAAGTCCCTTTAAAAGAAGAGGGGAGGGGGAAGGGTTGTTTTTCTCACATATATTATGTTTTAACTCAAATCATGTAGACAAGCCTTGTTCCATGCCGTTGCTATGGCTGCGGGTCGGGTCATTGTGCAGGAGCTTGTGAGAAGGAAAATACCAAGCGGAGAGGGGGCAGTGAGCCTGGTGCTTCTTGCAGCCAAGGACAGCCCTCTGCTGCGTTTTCTGGCCGTGGTTTTGTCCGAGGCCACCTTTCCATCCCCACCTGATGGGAACATGGAAACACTGCAACTACAAAGTCTTCTGCTGGCTGGCTCGGTGTAAGCAGAACTTACTGGGTCAGGAGCTTGAGAGCAAGGAGGATCTTTGCATCTCACTTGCAGAGATGCTATTAGGGTTGTGACAACACCTGCTCCCTAACTCTTCCCCAGGGGCAGTCACACTGCAGTGAGGAAATAAATAGGGTAACACAGAAGGCTGTCATACCTGCAGGCTTTACGCAAGCCCTGTGCGCTGTGATGGACTCCCACTGGGAATCCATCAAGGCAGGTGATTCTGCCCTTCTACTCTGCTCCTGTGAGGCCCCACCTGCAGTACTGCATTCGGCTCTGGGAATCCCCCAACACAAGATGGACCCGGACCTGTTGGAGCGAGTTTAGAAGAGGCCACAAAGATGATCTGAGAGCTGGAGCACCAGTCCTACAGGCTGAGACTGGCTGAGAGAATAGAGCTTGTTGAGCCTGGGGAAGAGAAGGCTCCAGGGAGACCTTAGAGCAGCTTTCCAGTACCTAAAGGGGCCTACAAGAAATCTGAGGAGGGTCTTTTTAAAAGGGCACATAGGGATAGGACAAGGGGAATGCCTTTAAATTGAAAGAGGGGAGATTTAGACTAGATGTTAGGAAGAAGTTCTTCCCTGTGAGGGTGGTGAGACATTGGCACAGGCTGCCCAGAGAAGCTGTGGCTGCCCCATCCCTGGCAGTGTTCAAGGCCAGGCTGGACAGGACTTTGAGCAATCTGGTATAGCGGAAGATGTCCCTGCCTATGGCAGGGGGTTGGAACTAGATGAGCTTTAAGGCACTTTCCAACCCAAACCATTCTTTGATTCTATGGTGTGATAACAGTGAGCAGCTCAAAGCGTACTGGTATTGCTTAACCCCAGACAAACGTCCACACTGCAGCTCGGTGATGTGATCAGGATCCTGGAAATGACGAAAGCCAAGCCAGATAAGGTTTCTCCCATGTCTAAACCACAGAAATACTCTGCTGTACATCTGGACTGTAGTTACAGAGTCACTCTGGTCCCCCAGAAAGGAGAAAAAAAAAAAGTTATTGAGTGGATTTAAAATTGATCTTTTCTTGAGACATTACCACATCGCTGTGTCACAGACTGTTACCAAAACTGTGAGAATATTTCTGCTGGTTTTAAACTGCCTACCTCTTACTAGGTTCTCAGTGAAAATCTCATCTGAAAGGTTAGTCCTTGTCTTTACTTTCACATGTGAATGTTTAAAATTACCACAGCTGACTAGAAAAAGTCTTCTCATTTAGTACTGTCTCACTTGTTTTCCCTGACTCCCTGAGAATCTGTTTCAGCAGAATTTGTTTAGAAAATTCAATGGTAAATTTCATTGGCAGAAGATGAACAAGACATGATAAACACTTAAATTGATTGAAAATTTGACTAAGCTGCTTACTTTCCTAATTAAAATGCCTAATTAGTTGGCTTGTTCCATTCAGTCATGCGGCTTTGATAGCCTTTATTGTGCACCAGAAGTCTGGGGCCTGAGATTTAAGCAGGTCTGTCCTAGTTATCTGATGAACTGTTAATTTGAAAATAAAAGCATTCTTAAACTACTCTTCTAGTAATTATCTTCTGGACTGATACACAGAGCCAAAAGCACTGTGTAAAATAACTTGAAAACAGACTCCACTAGGACTGAGATGCTGCTGCAACGAGTAGGTTGCTGCTGCTCACAGAGTTGCCAGTGAAGTTCCTGCAGCTTCACCAGAGAGAAGATATGACACCCTGATGCTCAGGGAGAGCCACTGGAGACCATCTTATCCTTCCTATACCACCTTCAGCACTAATTCCTGGGCTGGCTCAACTGGGTGTGCTTACTCTCACCTCCACTGGCCTACTGTATTGTGGAAGAGGACAGGCACAGCAAGTGCAAGCTGGGCAGTCTGTAGCCTCGTTTCATCTGCAGGCAGGTGAGACACACATCCTGCTCCTCTCAGGCAGGAAAGGAGTTTAAGCCTCAGGCTCCTGAGCTTAGCAGCTGAGGTGCTGCACAGACACAAGGAGTGTCTGCAAGTGACTGAACCTGATCTGCTAAATCAGGGTAATTTACATGACAGATTCTGGGCTTAGCCCAGCCTGTTTGACCAGACAACCACTCAGACATACACTTCCTTCTGCTCTCTTCCAAGAGCTCCTGTATTTCTTACTGGTGTTCTGGTTCCTGAAGCAGCAGCTGACAGCCATACCTCACACCTGGGCAGAGCTGGCACTCTGATGCCTATGCCTTCTTTAGAAACAAAACCAAACCAAGAACAGTTTCATGCTAAATGCCCTTCATGTCCTGCTGTTGCCACCAGGCAGAGGGATATCTTGTTCTTAAAATTCGTGTAGCATTATTCATGGCTGAAGCAGTCACTGCCCACTGCTCTCTAGGATGAGTAAACATCTTCCTGATGACATGGGATTTACACAGTGATCAAAATCTGTGTAAGACCTTGTTTATTTAAAGCAGTGCACCTTACAAGGCAGGTAAGTCTCTTCTCTTCCTTTGAAGTGAAAGCAGCACTGGCCGAATGAAGCTCTTTATGTGGGAGTACTACAGAGCAAGAGAAGAGCAGCATAAAACTTGCACGTCCACTTTCACCACCAGCTTGTGAGAAGGTCAGACACAGTACTGCAAAGTTGACAAATCTGTTTCAAAGAAAATTAAAAAATTGATACACAGCATTGTTTTCATTTATTTCTGTACAATGGCTCACAGATCCTGGAAGCAGGATCTGTTTTCAACTGCTTGATACAGCACTTAACTCCAGGCAGCTCACCACTGCCGCTGAGGTACGCAAAAAACCCTTCAAACAGTATCATGAACATAACCCTGTATTGCCAGCAGCTTTCAAGTTCCATGTCTTAACAATCACAAGAAAGGTTTCTTGTGGCTTGCAAAAATACTTCCTTCTACTCTTGACCAGTCAAACCTGTTTTTGCAATATGAGCTTTGAAACTACAACTAGATGCACCCTCCCCATTACAGGTTATGTCCTCCTGATGGAGGTTAACCGAGAGCCCCAAGGAGGCAATGGCACAAGCTCTAGACTTTCTGGAGCAGCCTTCCAGAGACCACTAGCCTCACTTTGGGGTTCAACTGCAACTCAAGCGCAGCTCATTTGCACAGAACACACAGCCTCCACACACTCAAGCATCAAGCAGAAGTGCTCAGGCGATCACCCTGGGCCATGCAAGCACACGCATGTCACTCTGAGACTGTGGTATGGTTACATCATGCTCCACTTGTGAAAGTGTTTGGGTGAATTTTGGGAGAATCTTTTATTAAATTTGCATGTTACCCAAGAACTATACAGGAGAATTAAAGTCAGAACTACTGCCATGAAGTGAAACCACTATTTATTTTTATAAAAGGCAATAATTAAAACAAACCCTACCAGTGTGTACATTGTACACATTTGAATGACACTTACAAGAATGAAGTTTCCATATACAAAGACTACAAGCCCACACTGGTAAAGGATGCACACAAGCACATACATGGCTTTAGAGATGCCTCAACTGCTGATCACAGTATCAATTATTCTATGACCACATCTGCATAGGTAGCACTTTCAGGATTAGCATCCACACTACTTTATTCCACTACAAACTGTACACAGAAAGCAAGGAGTTTATTCAGAGAGCGCAAGTATCTGTAGACAGATTTTATTTGCTGGAATGATCTTTTCACTCTTCTGTTGCCATCTTCAAGAGGTATTCTTTGTCTATCTTGAAGAGCCTCCACCCTTCCTCAGTGGACAGATCAGAGGCACCCCTTCTCTTGTAGAACCTGATGGATGGTTCGTTCCACTCCGCAACAAGGAAGTGCATACTGCTGCAGCGGCACTTCACAGCAACCTGCAACAGCATGCAGCACAACACATTCCAGACAGCCCCAGATGATAAGCCTAGCAGAAACTCGTGGGACTACTCAGCAACTGCATTATCACTAGAGGTCATCAAGTTCATTCTGTCAGTCACTTCACCACTTGTCACTATTTAACACACCCTAGACAATGGTTTAATCTATCTACTGTTCCATCACCTCCTTTGAGTAGCCCATAGCAGTTAGAAAGGCAAGGACAGTGCCTTGCCACATGTCCCCAGTTCTACTTGTTTAGGCTTAACACTTAAGACATACCTTACTCAAGTTCTTCAGAATTTCTGATCCAATGCCAAGTCCTAAAAACAAACAAAAAATAAAGAAACTTCAGTTTTAAAGAAGCTCTAACAGGAAGCAACCAATATAGTTCCAGAATATATACCTCTGTACTCGGCCATCACATAGAAATCTTCAAGATACAGCAGTTTTCCAATCCACGGATCATAGGTGAAGTAATACATGGCAAAGCCCACAATGCTGTGTTCTGAAACAAGGGGTGGAATTTCAGCTAGTCTGAATTTAAAAGGCAAAACCACTAAGACTTACATACATATTTAAACATACAGATTCTTTCTGTGACATGCAGTCATTTGCTACTAGGTTAGGATTAAGAATTAAGTTTGCAAATAAGCATACAATTGAAAACAAGAGTTCTGACAAACTTTTATTGGCCTAAGAGAATGCAGGTTACCCTGGTCATACCTCGAGATCCTCAAAAGCGCTATCCTACCCTAGTCAATGATGAACACAAGGGTGTGCATACCCTACTGATTTATTGGCATTCCCATTCTGGAATACACGTAAAAGCTTTACACAGCAGTCCACAATCTAGATGACTGCCCCAACTCTTCTTCCTTAGCAACCAAACTGGTCTATCAGACTAAGAACATTGATCCTTCAGTGTATATTCCTCAGTAATTTCACTGTGTCAGAGGGCATACTCACAGGCCACCCTTACAGCAGCATTTCCAGCACCTCAACTTACACTCCCCCTGAAAACACTACACTATTTTCTTTACTTTCAGCACTGTAAAGTCAGGTAAGTAAATCTACAGCTTCAATTATAACTTTGCGGCTCAACAGGGAAGAGAAACTAACTCTTCCAACGGCAGCCCACTCAAACCCAATCCTGGAGTATTGCAGGTGTACCTTCCATAATGCTGCACATACTGTAAGGGAAACGTGCAAACAGATTTCTGATCTACTGTGTCTTTGGTAAACGTTTGGGAATAGCACTTGTCCCTGTAGACCTTACCTCATATTATGATCATCTATTTATTGTGTAACGGATCTTTTAGTTACCTCCCCGCCCATCCATGTACACAGAAGGGCCATGTACATGGCGAAGCTAGAGACTGTAACCTGAAGATTGGGGACAAATTAAAGAAAAAAATGTGATTCAACAGGATTACATAAAGGTAAGTCAGGGTCAAACAAGAAAAGCCATTTAATTAATTGGAGTCAAGTACATTATGCTATACCTGATCTTCCCATGCCTCCAGCATTAGCAACTACTTCAACTGAGTATAACTATATGTTACTACATTTAACAGTTAACCTGCTCCGCCTACCCCAGTCCATTAGTGGAACCTTAAGTACAGTCAATAACATTAAGTATAAGATGCCTCTTGTGTATTCAGCATCTAAAAATAAGTATTGGGAAGTCTCACCTTCAGATGACCACTGTTCTTTGGGCACTTCTGCAACCAGACAGTGGTAGAAAGGGTGCTCGCCAAAACCATCCTCAAGCAGTTCTAGAAAAGCAGAATAAATCGGCACCTGAGCTACAGATACTGCCACTAGGCTACCGACCCAGCGCGCAGATCCCACTTTCATACCTTTCTCGGTTAGCACCACTTGGTCCTCCATATCCTCGTATTTCGCCAGTTCCTGGAAGAGAAGAACGCGTCAGCGGACTCCCCCCGCACCCGCTTCCCCATTGGAGGCTGCCCGCCCCCCCCCCCGCAGCCTTGCGCAAGAGGTTGTTTTTGCTCAGGCGAAGGCCAAAGGTACCCCCCCGGCCGCGGACGGCGGCGCAGCTGCCTCAAACCCGGCCGCGGGACGGGAGGCGGGCCCCGCCGCTCCCCTCAGCGGCCCAGCGAGTTCACGGGGTGCTCAACGGCCGCGCTCGCGCACCGCCACAGCGACTCCGGCCGCCCCCAAACCCCCGGCCACCGCCGCGCACCTTGATCAGTCGCAGCAGGTCGGG